GAAACATCTCTTCACGCTGATGAAATCAAAGCGAATGAGATAGGCGGGGTTTGTAGAGGCGAGTGCACGGGGAGATGAGAGATGCATACAGAATTTCAGTCGGGAAACATAATCAAAAGAAAACTTTTTTTTTTTGTTTCATTTTGGTCCGTCACACTAACAGTTACAATTACAAAAGACAAGTCCGTCCAATGTGACTATTTCAGTTTTCTCACTTGATGATTCACTAGCCTTACATGTTTCGATCCAATTGGATCATCTTCAGAGGCACCAAACACTTTTTAGAAACCACTATCACAACAGTTGTCATATCAAATATGCTGTATTTACGCATGTATAGGCCGCACGTTTTTTGCCAAAAATTCAAGAGGAAAACTGGGGTGCGGCTTATATTCGAAATCACACTTCATTTAAAAAAATATGTTCATAATTAGTAATACAGGGTGTAATACTCCTGAAATAATATTCCAATAAAATTATTTTTTCTATAATTTCTGTCTGAAAATTGTGCTGCGGCCTATACATGCGTAAATACGGTACATGTAATGACCAAGTACACAATGTTCCATCTATCACTCACAGCAGCCTTTCTGGTTATAGAAATATTTAAAGTTGTTTTAAAAACTTTGTTAAAAATTAAAATACATAAACCATACGGTTCGTGTCAATACACAGCACAGCGGGCCAAGAAATCATAACGGACAATATTAAGAATCTGCCTAATCAAGTTACACAGGCGGCACAACATCGGCCACCTTTAAGAGAGACGACAGGGTTTATTGACACGAACCGTATGGTTTATGTAGTTTAATTTTTAACAAAAGTTTTAAAACTTTAAAACAACTTTAAATATTTCTATAACCAGAAAGGCTGCTGTATTGGATCGAAACATGTAAGGCTAGTGAATCATCAAGTGAGAAAACTGAAATAGTCACATTGGACGGACTTGTCTTTTGTAATTGCAAAAGAAAACACTTGTGAAACTTGGGCGTACATGGAAATTGTATATTGATGGATTTATAGAAACGGTGTCTGGAGTGAATCCATTTGGGTGAAGTTATGGCACACCAGATACGCACTTACGGGTACGCGGGCTGCATGGAAAGCGGGGAATTGCTTGATCATGAGAGCGACTGTCAGCTTCTCGGGAGCCATGTCACGTTGGCAGCAGCGACTCGAGCCCGAATGTCCGAGGCGAGATGGAGGTTCGGCTCATGTTTAAAGTGACGTGTCTTGTTGACGTCGCTCTCAGTGACGTCCGTATTGCAATTGGAAAGGGTGTGGAAGGTTTAATTACAGTGCTTCTGGACAGGCCCCTCTAATACCGGCTTACATAAAAAGGCAGTTTTGTGGCGGACCTGAATGGGAACACTCAACAGTTACTGCGGCCCCCTGCCAATGTGTGTTGCAGCAGCATCTAGCTGCGGTTCTAATCATTCCCATTTTTAAAACACATGAAAAGGTAAGAAATGGCAGGGTTGTCCCTCTGCTTAATTAAGCTCTATACCATGAAGACATATGGGGGAGTGGAGGTCAGTGTTCAGCTTCACACCCCGGCCGCTTTACCCCCGGAGAACGATCCCCACGGTGCCGTATTGGATAGGAGGCTTGGCTGACCCCGAAGTCAATTTGGATGCTGTGAAGAGAAAATCCTCACCATACCTGGAATCGAACCCGGACCGTCCAGCTGGTAGCCCATCGCTATATCGACTGAGCTATCCCGATTAATTTTTTAAAATACATGAGTAAAGTTTAATTCACAGTTCGGATGCAGTTCCTGCTGTTACCGTAACTGTTGTGGCGTGATTATACCGGCCTGGCTGATCCCGCTGCGACTCCTTCGGACCCGGCCGAACTGTACGAACGTTGTTGCTGGAAGTGACCGGCCGGGAGACAGAGGCGCGCGCCACCATATCCCGGATGAGGCTATTAAGTTCCGTCCTCGTCAGTTTCTGCGGACCCCAACCTTTCGAATGAATGTAATTCCAGAACATTAAAGGGTGGAAGACTGAACGCTACAGCCCCTTCGGGACCTCAGCTTTCGGATGAATGTAATTCCAAACCATTAAAGTGTGGAAGACTGAACGTTACAGCCCATTCTGAACCTGAGCTTTCGAATGAATGTAATTCCAGAACAGTAAAGGGTGGAAGACTGAACGCTACATCCCCTTCGGGACCTCAGCTTTCGGATGAATGTAATTCCAAACCATTAAAGGGTGGAAGACTGAACGTTACAGCCCATTCTGAACCTGAGCTTTCGAATGAATGTAATTCCAGAACAGTAAAGGGTGGAAGACTGAACGCTACAGCCCCTTCGGGACCTCAGCTTTCGGATGAATGTAATTCCAGAACATTAAAGGGTGGAAGACTGAACGCTACAGCCCATTCTGAACCTGAGCTTTCGAATGAATGTAAATCCAGAACATTAAAGGGTGGAAGACTGAACGCTACGGCCCCTTCTGGACCTCAGCTTTCAAATGAATGTAAATCCAGAACATTAAAGGGTGGAAGACTGAACGCTACGGCCCCTTCTGGACCTCAGCTTTCAAATGAATGTAAATCCAGAACATTAAAGGGTGGAAGACTGAACGCTACAGCCCCTTCTGGACCTCAGCTTTCGAATGAATGTAATTCCAGAACATTAAAGGGTGGAAGACTGAACGCTACAGCCCCTTCTGGACCTCAGCTTTCGAATGAATGTAATTCCAGAACATTAAAGGGTGGAAGACTGAACGATACAGCCCCTTCTGGACCTCAGCTTTCGAATGAATGTAATTCCAGAACAGTAAAGGGTGGAAGACTCTTAATTTTCCTCCCATGTTCTCTCTGTGCGACATTTCGGAACCTCTTATTTCCTTCTTGATTTTTTGCCATTTCCATTTGGCGTTCCCCGTTATTTTCATGCTCAGAACCTCGTTTCAGATGCAAGCCAAGAGCACTGTCTGTTCATCCTTGGCGATATGTCTTGTACTTTCAGGATGTGTAAACTCTGCAGTTGGAGCAACGTGGTTAAGTAACCCCGAGAATTTCTGGGAACCGCCTCTCGATGTGTCGTGCGTGTTGCCGGCTTATCTCGCCACACACTGGCCACCGGAAGTGTCCGATATTGCTAGTGCACTTCCTAATGCAGGTTCGGTCGCGTCGCGTCTTTACGATTAACAGCGGAAGTGAGGCCAAGTGGCACTGCTTCTGAGGTACTCTGTTCATATCCCGATATACTCCGGTCTAACGGGCGATGTCCCTGCTGGGCGCGGTGGTCGTGAACAAGTGCAGAGGCATTGAGGGCTTATCGTAGCGGAAGCCCGCGAGAGGCCAGCATGTGCTTAAAACTCTTGTCCGCTGTGGAATTCGAGCGTTCATTGCCGTGTTGGGTTTGAGTCTCACGGTGATGACTGGACTGTGGCGACGTGTGTATTTCGGTAGTTTACTGGCGCTGCTTCCACCCTGAAGGGGGAGACGGTATGTTTCACGGAAATGTTGGTGATCGTTTTACCGAGGCGCTTTTTGTTCATTTGTGGACAAGAGTACATCACAAGACCCAGTCCTTAGCCAGATGCATCAAGTCGACGCCCTAACATTACGTTTCTTTTATATCCATTTTAATATATGCTTGGGTCTATGCTACAAGCCGGAAGGTCGCGGGTTCAGATACCGATGATGTCATTGGATTTTTTTCAATTGACCTAATCCTTCCGGCCGCACTAGGCCCTGTGGTTTACTCAACCTCTAACAGAAATGAGTACCAGGAATTAATTAAATAATTTTCCTGGGGAGTGAACCGCGGCCGGCGCGTAAGGCTGACAACCTTACCGCCATCTTTGAGCCGATTGTCAAGGTAATGTGGGACCCTTAACGTCTCACAACCCACTGGGCCTTCACGGCCTGTTACAGGGATAGCTTTGCTTTACTTCACTTCAAACTGGCATCGTTACTATGGATTTCGTGGCTAACGCCGTTTATGCAGTTCTCGTCCCATGCGTGCTACATGCCCCACGTGTTTCATCTTTCTCAATATAATTTTGTTTGGAGAGGGGGAGGGGAAGTGGATCTGCGCGAAGCTGCAAGGATAACTTTGCGCTGCGAACGCAGGAGGAGGTGGTGCTCATTGGTGTAACTGCTAGGCCAGGATATGTAACGCTTTCTTCAGTGTTCACTGCATGCACGGAGCAGTGCCCTGTTCTGAGCCACATGCAGTTCTGTACAGTAAAAGTAAAGTCGACCCCAGGGCCATAGTGCGGCTGGAAGGATTAGGTCAATTGCAATATCCAGTGACCTGGTCGGGAATCGAAACCGCGACCTTCCTGCTTGTAGCCAACTACGGCACCGCGTGCCCCCCATGCAGTTCATACCACTGAACACAAATTTTGTTTGCTTATAATAGCTTAATTACGAACCACTTAACATCACGTTTTCCAAACAACCTCCTGATCTGAAGAAAATCACTTCTTTACCTGAATCACGTGGTCGCCCCCCAGTTTGATAACACCCAATCTTCCACCCACTGCTGTAGCCCCCACCCCGCCTGCGGCTTCGTACAGAAACCTGCTGGCAAGGCGCTGACTTCCCGCCGCGGGGTCCGCTGTTCGTTCCCAGGCGTCTGACGTGGGTAGATGAAGTGTCAGTTGTTGCCAGCAGTTGCTTGAAGAGGCTGTGTATTGATTACGCAATGTGTAGACGTTGTGTGACACTTGGTCTCTGCGAGGAGGAGAGACCGGAAGTGAGTAATGGTGATGGGAGAGCTGTAGCTCACAAATGTTAGGGCGCTAAGAATGAAGAGCATGACTTGGAAGAAACGAGACATAAGCCCTTAAGCAGGCCCATGAGTGAACCTACCGGGCACTGCAGTGAGTGTAGAGGAGAGGATAATATTAGAATGGATCTGATGGTAAAGGGGTTTATGAATGAATTGCATTCAGATGTCCTCCTGTGGACACGATCGGCGGATGTCTCGACCAGCTTGGCTGCTGTCAGTGTCTCAGTAGTACGACTTTCTGTTGCAGGCTTTGTGTCGTGCTCTCCCAGTCCGTGCAAGAATGGCGGAACGTGCGTGTCTTCACCACGAGGGGAGTCCTACTGCAAGTGAGTATTGACCTCTGTACGTTTCAGGATTTCTGTGAAGTTCACAGCGAGCCAGCGATTCTAACGAAATTCTGAAGTCGCTTGCACCGGCTGGCGACCGTCAGGAGTACTGCCGTGTAGTCCGACACATTCACCAGCGCTTCGGCCTCCATTTTCAGGAACAAAAATTAAGCCCAGTGCTCGCCTGCCTGGCGTACTCATCGACCTGGAAAATGGCGCCAGTACGGTCCTGGGAAATGTCCTGTTAACTACAGGAGTACACGGTGTCACATCACAAGACATTATTTCTGTATTTGAAGCGATCAGCACCGTGCAGTGTAGTAGGTATAACAGATATTTCGGAGGAACATGGTCCCTCTATTTTCATGGTTAAAGTGTTAATGCCTCGATTGTATAGGGAGGTAACGCTGCGACCGTCAGCAGTAGGCCTGTCTTGGTGCCGTGCCCACAAGTGGCATGGAAAATGGGTTGGGAAAGGCTTGTAAGGGTTATATTCATCTTAGGTTGGAGTAGTGAGAAAGTGCCCTCATGTCCAGGGCTACGGGGCAGCATGCAGTCACGGCCCAGGAAGATCAAATTTGAATAAATGCCGTCTCGAAAATGCCGCATAAGTGTAATTTGGCGGTGTAGCGCAGGCGAGACGAGATCACCGCTTCCCGACACACTCGATACTGAAAGGCTCATTTGCAAGCCAAGCGCGGCGCTGTCCCTGCAGTGACTCAGCTAAGTATACTGAGATGCATGCGTACAGAGCTGTTATGGCGGGAGCTTTTTATTCCACGGCCAGCCGCTCCATAGCTGAAGCGGTTAGTCGCTGGCTTCCAACCGCGGCGGTCCGGGTTCGATCCTGGGTCTGGTCAAGTGGGATTTGTGGTGGACAGAGTGGCGCTGGGGCGTGTTTTCTCAGAGTACTTCGGTTCCCCTGCCAATTTTCATTCCACCAAATTCTCCATCATCATAATCACCCGCAGGCCAATCAATGGCCGCCGTGCCGAGTGGACCCAGTTGGACTCCACCCCCACCAAGCAAATTAAAAAAAAAAAAAAATTAAAAAAATTAGATGTGAGGAGCCGGGGTAGCTCAGTCGGTATAGCGACCGGCTACGGTCTAGACGGCTGAGGTTCGGAGTTCCAGTCCCGGTAGGCTCAAGAATTTTCTCGAAGTCGTCCATACCGGCTCTGGGGTCCACCCAACCTCCTATCCAATGGGTACCGGAGGGCTCTTTCCCCGGGGGTAAAGCGGCTTGAGCGTGAAGCTGAGCACTCATCTCCAACTAGTGTCGAGGTCAAGAAAAGACGGATCTATACATCCACTTCCACATACGTCTTCATGGCTTAGTGCTTAATTCGTTAAGCACAGGGATAACTTTACCTAAAGGAGGTATAACAGCAGAATTGCGCTGCTGACGTATTGCCGGGTTTTGTGAATATTAAACGCGACACTAAAGTGAAGACAGGTGATTGCGGTGTGGTAACCCCGCCACAGAGAAGTGCCTTCTTCAGGAAGTAAACTGACATTTACTCTGAAAATGAACCAAGCTCGTGCCCTTTCCTTCATTACGTAAAGTCAGCCTTCATGCATTATACATACTTCGTGAAGAATTTTAAATTCAGTTAGTAATGTTAACTATATTCGGTCATTTAATTTATTGCATCGTCGCGTGATTGCATGTGACATATAGACGGGGGTTTTGGTTGATAATCGGGCGTATTGAACTCTCTGATACAGCGTGTGACCACATTGTACATTTCACTATTACACACACACACACACACACACACATCAGTGTCCACAGTCACGTCTTCAGTGCCGTTGCTTGGTAGCAGCTTCCAACAGTGGACGTCCCCTTCCTCTGGGTTCCCGAACTGTTTCGGCCTCAGCCACCAGCTTCTCACAGCAACATCTGACAACAGCTGAACCCCAGCGGCAGTGGCGGCTCGTAGCCAAAATTAGTGGGGGTGCTGCTCCAGAAAATTTGTAACCTTTGTTTTAAAATTGTATAAAAGGAAACAAACATGCATAAAAAGAAAATTTATTCAGAAACTTGATAAAATCCTAAAAGAACAAAATCAAACATTTTTTACTTACTTTAACCTAAATTGTTACAGTTCAAGCTTAATCTATTCATTTAAAAATGAAATCCATTCTTTTTAACCTTTATATTATGCTCATTAATTGGAAGTCTGTATGCCTCACTAAGTTTCTCCTTAATACTTACGGTTCCTGCTTCTTTGACTTCTCGTGCTTTTCAGTTTTTTCTTTAATTTTGTGTATCTTTCTAAAACCATCTTTTGCTCACGTTACATCACCCCCAAACAGCAAACACGGAAGCAAAACAGTGCATTTTTTACTTCACAGCCGCAAAGCCAACTTTTCCGTTTGTACCATTCAGAATTAAAGCTACTAATATACCGTATTTACGCATGTATAGGCCGCAGCACAATTTTCAGACAAATTATAGAAAAAATAATTTTCTAGGAATATTATTTCAGGAGTATTACACCCTGTATTACTAAATATACTTTTTTTTTTAAATGAAATGTGATTTCGAATATTTCGAATATAAGCCGCACCCCAGTTTTCCTCTTGAATTTTTGGCAAAAAATGTGCGGCCTATACATGCGTAAATACGGTATTTCTTGTTCTTCCTTATGCCTGGCTGAGATATTAGAATATCGGGTGTTAAACGACCTCTTTTCTTAACTGCAACTTTCTCATGGAGAGACAGTTGTGAAAACTTAAGCTGTTGAAGTTCACTTACAGTCACAGAACTTATTTCTCGGGGATGCAAGGCCATGGTTAAAGTTTTCTGTTAAATAAAAGAACCGAAAAAATTAATCAAATAGAATAGCTGGAAGCAGGATAATAATCTAATTCTACAATTAACTCATATTCAAGAATATGGTACACGGTTTTTAAGCAAAACACACGCGGAGCACACCTTCCACCCGCACGCCAGGGTCGACACCGGTTGGCACTGTCGTTCCTGCAGTGCTCCCTCACACTTGCAACCTCGCGTGTAGCTTCCTATGTGCGCATGCGCACAGTCAACAAACACCTCGCCGCTGGAACTGTGAAACGCACTGTTCCATACAAAGATTTGGCTACTGACATTATTAAGCATAAGGATTATATATTGTATTGTACAAGTATAAAGAAAGAATTAAAGAAAAAAGGACTCATATAAATGTTATCGATAATATCAAGTGGAAATTGGGGGTACTGCAGTTCCACAGTGCCTATACGCGGGCCGCCCCTGCCCAGCGGTTATATAACTCACCAACTGATTGACTGGATCACGTCCTGCTTATAACATTTCGGCACCGACCGCACAGAAAACACTTCCTGTTGCTTTCTACGGGCCGATATCTAGTAAAGACCGTTGTATAGTTGCTTATTTCGCTGTCGTTGCCTAGTGTCTGCACCAGCTTTGAATAAGGTTTTGTATTCGCCTACCGTTTGTATAGCACATGATTATCTCAGTCGATGTGGAATTTATTTTGTCAATACATATTCCGTATCGAGCCTTGGTGAAACAGGTTTGTAAGTTAAAGGCCGTAATCTCTGAGATGCATCGCCTACTTATATAATTTCCGCTAGCCTGTATACAGGTCGCGGGTTTTATTCCCGATGTGATCATTGCATTTTTCAGTTGACCTAATCCTTCCAGCCGCACTATGGCCCTGAGGTCGACTTAGCCTCTAACAGAAATGAGTACCAGGAATCTTCCCGTGGGTAAAGGGCTGCCGGCATCTGTGAGCCAACTCTCTAGAAAATATAGGAACATCGACGTCTCACGACCCTGTGGGCCTCCACGGCCTATTTACTCACTTCACTGTCTGTGGCTACGGCAACCTAGGGCCCTCAGTCCGGTGCGGGCAGATTACTGTCGCCGTTGTCCTTCATCCCTTGGAAGCACAGTGGTAATTACATACCGCATGCTTTAACCTTTGGACACTGTGCATGTATTTGTGTGTTTCGCGTGATTCTCGCAGTAGACAGGTGTTATTAACCGACTGGCCTTTGTAATTGAGATGCAGTGTATTTTCTGCGAGGTGGAGACGGATTTGCGTGAACTTTGCTGCGGGCATCAAGCCGCTACAGATCACCGCACTGTTCTACTTCTCAGTTGCCTACCGCCAGTCAGCTGACATGGAGGCCGTGTGAAGTTGTGAGGCGAGATCGCAAGGCCCCGACATCGTAAACATGGCGGCGTTGCGACGCTGTGTGATGAGAGCCCTTCTTGAGACTGATACTTAATAACCTACTATAGAAATTTTCCGCCTTTTATGGAACCCGAAGGTTCGTTACAGTGTTCACAAGAGCCCTCCACTGGGCACTCTTCTGAGACAGATGAAACCAGTCCACACCAGGACACTCCAATTCTCTAAGATCCAGTTTAATATTATCGACCGATTAATGCCATCAGACAGATTTAACTTCGTAAGAATCTCCATTACTGGAGACTTCCTACAGAACTAAATCACAAACTGATACAGTAAGAAGTTGTAGAACATACTCGCCTCTGGAGTAAACTGTCCGTCCCGAGCTTCTCTGCGATTGGTATTACGTACGTTAAGCATTACAGCGATGGCCCCCAACGGCGCGAATCCTTGACGCGCTGCAAATCTGTCCTGTTCGCAGATGTTCGTAGGTCGGAATCCACATGGACATCCGGCTCCCTGCTTGCTAATTGTGGGAACATGTTGCGCTATTCCCTCTCATAGCATAAATCGATGTTTTAGTTAATATCGATAGTTTTTTTGCTATGCAGCACGACCCGACGTGTGTTCTTGACGGCGAACATGATCGCTGACCCGCTTCCACGTCCACTCAGCCAGCACAAAGCATTGAGACCCTCTGGACACGATCGTGGACCAGTTTCGCCCACCTCACAATTAAGATCCGTTTTAATGTTATCCTCCCATTTTCTAGCGTTCCATTTCCTATATTGTTTTCGTAGCAAATTTGACCACTGCTTTTCCGCTTTGCTTTAGAAT